GGATGTCTGATCTATTCCTTCTATAGTCCACTATAAGCTCCTTGGTCTTATTGATGTTAAGGTCCAGGTTAAGGTCTCCACAACACGAAAGCAACCAGTCTACCTCATCTACCTCATCTCGATAGACTCATCTCTGGGGGGGGGGATGAGTCCCATCACTGTTGCATCATCTGAAAATTTAATAATAGTATTATAGGTATGAGTGGGAATGTAGTCATATACATAAAGAGTATAGAGTAAGGGACTACACACACAACCCACCACCCTGTGGTGTACCCGTGCTAGGGATTCAAACTGCCGACCTTTTTGATCGACAAGCTCAGCATTTTAGCCACTGAGCCACCACATCCCCTAGTTCTCTTGCTTACAAGTAACTGTATATGTCATGTAACCAACAAGGAAAAAATATTTATTAAATCTGAGGCCACACAAACATATAGTGAAACATTCACAACAATTAAAGTATATGCTTAAAATTACATAAAGTCCAAGGTGCGGGATGATTTTGATATAACAAAGATGGGAAATTTCACCCATATCCACCTGAATATCCAACTCCCAGGCCATTTGCTTAAATTCTGCTAGGATTTTACAGGACATAGCATAAGTAAGACTGGTTATAACAAACAATGTATACAGTATCTGATTTTGGCAATTAGTTTTTGCAGTGTTAATTTAATCTATTATTAAGATAAGATGAACCATAGATGTCCCCTAAAGGATTTGTTTTGCCTAAGGTCTTATGTGTATGTTGCACAAATCTCAAAAGAGATGCAGCTCAGCTCTAATCGTGTTAGCCCATTACAAGCTTAATGAAGGAATGTGTACTATTGTTTTTAGAAATTTAAATTTTATGGGCTATAAAATTCCTTTAGATACAAAAATTTAATTCTTGTGTGTTCTTTTGGACACACAACTGGGTTTCATAGCAACATACTTATAACTTTGGCTTTAAATAACAATACAAATAGGACAAAATTTCTAAATGTATTAGAATAGTCATGTTTCAGTTCCATCTTTAAAATGATGTCATTTTGTAGGATTTCAGAGACCAAGCTTCTCTATGTTATTCTTGTTGTGTGAAATATAATATATCCCTATGAAGGCTGTGTGGCCCTGTTTCTATTATCATCTAAATAAGTCTTAAAAACACAGGTTTCAAAAATTCCTTGGGCAGGTTGACCCTATATTGTTATAGGGATATTTTTTCTTGCTGTTCTTGGTTTTTCCTTCCCCGGTATAGTAACATAGAACTCTATACTAATTTGGACAGCTTTTAATCTCAATAAGCAGATCAAATTATATTATTATTACTGTACTTTTATTATGGAGGTGCAATGGCTCAGTGGTTAAAAACACTGAACTTGTCAGCTGGGAAGCTGACAGTCTGGGTTCAAGATCTGAGTGCCACACATTGAGGAACTCCTGTTCCTTGCTCCAGCTCCTCCCCGCCTAGCAATTTGAAAGCATGCAAATGCAATAGGTACAACTTTGGTGTGAAGGTAACAGTGTTCTATGCACGCTTGGCATATAGCCATCCTGGCCACATGACCAGAGGACAATGCTGGCTCCCTCATCCAAGAAACAGAGATTAGCCCTGAGCTCTAGAGTCAGACACAACTAAACAGGGAAACATTTCCTTTTACCTTTACTTTCATTACATATACTTGTAAATTCCTAGAATATATCTTGAGAGATGGCATATTTATGAAATGTATATACCATCTCTCAAGTTATACTCTAGGAATTTAGAAATGTAAGTATAAATTTCAAAAATTCTTAAATAAATGATTTGGTTAAATTGAAAAAAAATGGATCATGACATTTTGTTTTAAATGTTTTAATAATTTTGAATAGGTATTGACAAACATATATTTATTTTTATGGTTTACATACATCACCTCACACAAATGACTTTGTAAGCATCTTACAAGCATAAAAAAAATCCAAAAAAAATATTATTTATTCATAACATTGTTTTCATACCTGAAAATATGTACATTTTGTTGGCTATTTCTCTTGTCTTATGTAAGTCAGTGTACCAGTTCCATCATGCTGAGTATCAATTTGCATTAATTATCACATTTTGAAATACAGTGAATAATCATGTGGGACAGAAGGGACATACAGTGTACCAGGGAATTATTGTTTCATCTGCCATGTCAATCATCCAATATCTGAGTTTGATCTGGGTTTATATTCAGGAATTGGCATTGTCTTGTTTTCTGCATGCGTTATATTTAATATAAACTTTGTGTTTATTTTAAATGCCAATATAATCTATCTCCTCCAACCCAATATTGAAAGACTCTGTAAATGCAGTCTTTAACCATAATTTTAATTTGCCCTTGAGGCTGGTCAAAATGCTCCATAAAAATATGTTCTGGGAAGTGATATTATGCAAAATGATATATTGCAATGAGGCTTTGGATAGGTGCCTTTCTTTCTTTACCGGGTATCTGTCCTGAATGAATGTTATAGATGAATATGTGAAGGAAACAGCTTCATTCCTCAGGAAGAAACAAAAAAAAAAAATCCCAAATAGAGCTGGTAAAGAAAAACACAAGAAACAATATTAGAACAGTGTAAAGATGCTGAACATGAAATCAAACAAGAAAAGACTTTCAAGACATCTCTCATGTGGGTTTGCTGAAGATTCCCAGTTGGCAAAAATTTATTGTATTTTACATTTTAGTTTTATATGGCCTCCCAATAAGTTTAATTTATTTTAATTTAGTTTAGTTATGGGCTATGAATATATATTGAGGAACCTGGACTGGAAAAAGATGGTTTTAAAAATGGAGAAAGAAACATCAATAAACTGTGCTATATTTATGATACTACTTTGTTAGCTGACATGCTGTAGTAAATTGTCTTGAAAACCAAGGAGCAAAGTGAAAAAAAATAAATATAAAGACCAAACTAATAACAACACAACGGCCTTAAAACTGACAATGAAGATATTGCCATGAAACTTATTTTCTGCCTTTTAGGATCAACCAACAACAGTAATGGAACAAGCAATCCAAAAGTTGAGGATGCTCCATCACTGGAGGCTTTTAAGAAGAGACTGGCCAGCCACTTGTCTGGACTGACATAGGGTCCCTCTCCTTGAGCAGAGGGTTGGACTAGGTCCCTTCCAACTCTGCTATTCTGTTAAAAACCTGCCATAGACTAGCACTTAGTATAGTATCAATGAAGTCCTTAGAAAAGTTAATCAGATGCTGGGATATGTTTACATATACAAAGATCAAATCATGCAAGCAGTGGCTTTCTGGTTACACTCTGTGAAAGCAAAATGTGGACTTTCAAAAAGCAGAGTAATCTATATTTCAAGTAAACATAATAAAGTGAACATCTGTAACTATGTATATATAGTTAGTTAGTTAGTTACTGTGAACATATTTAAAAAAGAAATACATGGATAAATAAATAAAAAGATTACTGTGACACTTGATCTTGTAGAATTTCAACAATTGTAGTGCAGGCTATGAAATGCATTTGCTCCAGATTTGTTTTCAAGACAATTCTTGCAAATAACAACAACAAAAACAACATAGAACATCTTGCAAGTTTCACATAGAGTGCGCCAGTAATTGGACAATTCTATTGTGTGGTATTATTAAGCATAACCCTAAAGCAGTGGGATATTCAAGAGAATTGCAGTAGGTCATCTTAAATGATAGTTAGGTTAATATGGAAGCAGATGCTCCACTGTTTCTCACTTCATAGTCATTTGTGGGGGAGGTAAGGTATGAAGGAACCGTCAGTTGGAAGTATATTTAACCTTGTGGCCCCAGTTTCTTCATACAAAAGTCACAGGATGTGGTCAAACATTTTCTGCAGCCTAATTATAAAAATATAAGCCATTGGGTAAAAGGTCATTTGTATAAAAGAGGAATAAGCACCTTTCCATTCCCTTATTACCAATTACTCTGTACAATTATGTAAATAAACTTGTTTTATTTATCTCAGCAAATTAATTTTCCTTAATAACATGTACCGGTAGTTACTGAGAAAAATGACCATATCACATTGAAAGAATAGTATTTATTTATTTAAAGATTTTATATGGTCACCCAATAAGAGTACAATCATGACTTGATCATCCATCAACATCATAATAAATGCTAGTATCCAAAACAATAATTGTTTGCATTTTGGTTTAGTGCTGAATTGTTAATTTTGAGATTCTTGAAAGTCTCACGTATACTAAAGAAAAAAATAATTTTCTGTCCAATGAAAGCACATATTTGCATTTTCATGCAAATTAACAATAGTTTCTGAGTCATTATGTGGAAGTTTAATATAGATTCTGAATGTAAAACAGGCAATGTAACATGAACATGGCTATGGTTGTTAATGGCTTGTTTTCGCTGGAAGCTATAAAATCATCCAAGGACTCTGTTGGTGTTAGAATAATAATTTACCTATACAATTACCACATGGTGGATTTTTGCAGCTCTAATTCTGTGTTATTAATAATGAATAAAATTGCAATTTTCTCAGGTTGCTTGGGGCAATGGGGAATTAGTTCAATGAATATTTCAGTGCATTATTTTAATCATAACTCCACAGATTTCAAGTGGCCAGTGTTTTATACTTTTAAGTTTACTTTTCTAAAGGATTGTAGTAATTAAAGTGAAAAATATTTGCTCTTAGTCCACTCTATGATTTACAGTTCTTTTTAAAAACACACAAAAAAGCAAGCTGTGTCATTAATACTTGTAATTTGATACTGCATTTGTTAATGGCCTTCTTCTGATTAATGGCTTTTTTTTAGTAGGCAAAACATTCTGAGATAGGGAGGCAGAATCCGTGAATATTTAAATGAAAGGAAAGAAGTTATTGAATATTCTTATTTTAAGAATTCATATATTTGTTTGTAGTTTGTTTGTAATCACTGAAACAAACATATACTTTATAGGGCTTTTTTTTCTAATCAATGGTACACAATTTACATGTAGATGCTGATTATTATTTATTTTTTTATTCTTTAGCCAACTGCATGATTTTTGGCGCTTAGATTACTGGGAAGATGATCTTCGCCGACGGAGACGGTTTGTTCGCAATGCTTTTGGCTCCACCCATTCTGATGCATTGCTTAAAGCTGCTGGAGAATATGGTCAGTATCACTGTAACATTCCTACTGTCCTAAATGCAGTTAGAATTGTTATTAAACTCTGTTTGAATGAAATCTGTCCATTTTTGTTATAGTATTTTCTATTTTTTTACATTTAGCATTTACTTATATAGCTGAATACATTTCAATATTGTTAACAGTAGCTTTCAAGCTTGTCCAGTTTGTATTATATTTAAATACAGGAGTGGGGACATTATAATAATGTATACACATAAACGAAAAACTGTAAATACAGTAATAATTCTGTTATTTTTAGGAAAAATATGGTTCATTGAATCCAAAGAAAGAGGTAGGCTTTTTTTCTGACAAGGTAAACATAAAAGGACTTTCACATTTCTCAGTGTTATAAGTCTCTTTCATTTTAGAGAATACAGAGACAAGCCCATTCTTGGAAGCTAAAAATTGAGAATAAGATAACCTTTCTGAAAAGCACTCTGCTCTAAAAAGTATTTTTTTATTTTTCAGTTAAAGAGGGAGACTTATTGTACTGCTTAAAGCTGGCAGTGTGTATGGAGACTTATACGTATATATAAAAAGCTCCATTGTCAGAGTGAGCTAATAAATTTGCAAATAGCAAATCATCTATCAGAGATTTAATAAGTCAAGTTTAAATGAAAGAATTTATAATCTCATTGAATTTATTATGTAAATTATTCCAGAAATTTATTCCACAGTACTAACCTCCGTAGTTTGGTTGAATTATGTAAGTTTAGTAATTTAGTAATTTTATATACACTCTCTTGATCTCTGATTAATATGATTTAACTTTATAAAAAAATGACTAAAAGTTGGAAACTGCAGAAAAGAGAAAAAGCCCTGAAATAGAGCAAATATATGAAAAAAGAATGAAGAAACTATTTGGTAACTATAGGCCTAATAATAGAAATATTAGTTTATGTGCCACAATTTAATTCTTATCAATAATTTTTATTTTGCTTTTAATGAATGACTCGTGCTGAGATATGTCAGACTAAATTTCATGGAACTCATATTTGAGTAGCATATAGGATTGCATAATTATAATTCTTGGACGCTGCTACATTTAAAGTCTTTCTCTGATTTCTGTAGTATGGTTAGTGTTGTTTTCAGATCCCTTTGTTTCGACTCTTTTGAAAATATAATTGAAACAGTATAAGTGCTGTTTCAGATTTGTTTAGATTAGTAAAATATTTTAAAGGTTTATATAGCATATAGCATTTTCTATAGATTTTATATTATATAGTATATTCTGAGATTTTATGATACTGCTTCTCTAGAATGCCATGTATAGATCAGATTGCTCTGTGTACTTCAATAATACATCATTGACTGGCAGCAACTTTCCATGCTTTCATTCAGGAATTTTTGATATTAGAAGATGAATGAACCTTACAGCATTTGACTTGCAAAGCTGTATTTCTTACTAATCTTGATATGTCTTCAACCAAGAAGTCTGGAAGTAAAATTATGTTACAGGTCATCCTAAAATACAACCTCTATTTTATTTTATTTCATGTCATTGTTATTTTTGTAATTTATGTTAAAGAACAAGAGGGAATAGATGCCATAGGAAAAAAAAAAGGACAGTAATTCCTGATTAGTGTGAAGTACAGTATTGGTATAGACAATATAGCTACATCCTGCTGTTCTTAGCCTCTCTTCCCTTGACCCTTAGCAATGACTTTAATAAGGATTGCTGCATGGGAGACATTTTAACTTTCCTCCTCCAGTGAACTAAATTCTGTCTCTTCTCTGGTGTGTGTGTGTGTGTACATACCGTATTTTTTGGAGTATAAGATGCACCTTTCCCCCCCAAAAAAGAGGGTGAAAATTTGAGTGTGTCTTATACACTGAATGTAGGTTCACCCACCCCCATCAGAGACCATGGAGACAGTGATGGTCTGTGGCAATCCCTGCAGCCTGGAGCAGCTGATTGGGGGTATTCCGGCAGTCCGATCCACCCGCCAATCAGCTGTGCTGAATCAGGCTGCAATAAGTGCTAAAGCTGACCTGGTTGGCCGGAGTTTGCAGCAGCAATCACATTCAGAAAGCACAGTAACTGATTCACCAGGATTCAAAATAATAATAATATACAATATATTACCAAAAGCAGGTTTTCCAAGGTAGCAATAAATACAAGCAAAACATAGCCAGGGTCCTTCCTGTCTCTTTCGGAATCCAAATAGTCCTCATTGGCTGACTTAGTTGCTATGTCTATTCATTGGATGACCTTGTTACCATATATCATATACCATATATGAATACCATGGATGCTGGTAGGCAGAGGCAGAATTTTTTTTATTTTCCTTCCAAAAACTAAGGTGTATCTTATACTCCGGAGTGTCTTATACTCCGGAGCATCTTATACTTCGAAAAATATGGTACATATGTATATGCCCCCTTGTATAAATAGCCAAGTCTGACCCATCATGCCATGACAATTAAAAAGGGCTCTCTCAATACAAATTGCTGTCGTATGCTCTGTCTAGGTTACTACAATCAGTCTTGCTTATTTGTAATCTGAAACTAACAGAGGGCAAGAGCAATAAGCCACATTTATGTAGATACATAGAAAAGTATATTCACAAAGTGCCAAAACCCCAAAATGAAACTGTTTGTTATTGTGCTTAAAAGGAGGGTTTTTTTAAAAAAAATGTTTACTTCCCATGATACCATGTATGTGGAGAAATGTAGATAGTGTCATTACTGTTTATATTACAAATCACAGTGGAAAGATGTTATCTTTTGCAATTTTAAAGTCCTTTTTTTTCTAAAGCTTTCAGTATCAAAATTAAGAACAGTCTTCCAGAAGAATTTAAAACAGCTTTCACTGAGATTAAGTCCAGAGAAATTTTACCTTGATTGGAGGGAAGGGGGGTAGTTTGGAGGCTTTACTTATGGATTTTAATATTAAAACTTTTACTTGACGCAACTGTATAAGAAAACATCCTTAACACTGATGTTATTTTTATACCTCCTGGTGATACTAATGAGTTGAATAATTTATGAGGTTGTCATGTAAAAAGGATTTGGTGCAGTTTGATGTATTTTCAACCTCTGGTGCTGGAATGTGATTAATAAAGAGCTGGAGGCACAGCATTTTTTTTCCATGGGGGCTTAACTTTCATTAGGGATTTTTCATCAGTTTTATTTTGATCATTTTATATCTCTTTTTTATTACTAGAATCACGTATAAGAAGTACTGTAGACAAAGCCGTTGATTTTTGTTATATACATAAGTTGCAAGTTACAGAATATAATTTACTGTCCACAAATAACTTCATAGTAGGAACAACAAAAGGGAAAAAATGAATTATATGGATGTGTGAGGGTTTTTTGTTTTAATTTTATTTTGGAAATAGTAGCATAAATACTGCTTTACGTTTCTATATAGAATAGACTGACAGTTATCATTCTGGGCAGGGTGGGGGGGGCGTTGTGATTAAATATCACAGCCAAGAAATGTTTAGTCAGAGCCTAAGTCAGCAAGCTCATCTGGGCCTGTGATCAAAGGCATCAGCTTAAATAGGTCTGATCAGGCATTGCAGACGAGGGCAGGCAGCCTCAGCTGAGCAAAAAATCACAGAGCAAAGATGACAAAATTAATCAGTCAATTCTTTGGCAATAAATAACAAGATATGCTGAGGTCTGCAGATGAGAGAATTTCTAGGTTCTGCGGAGATGCATCTACTTAATGCCTGATTTATCTAAGCTTGCATAGCCATCAAGACATGACCTTGATGAATAAAAGAGCACTCTCTAACTAATCCAGGCTTAAATCAGTATTGATAGTGAACACATAGTATATAATAATAATAATATGATGCTAACTGATCAAGGAATACCGGAGTTTTGGGAAATAACAGTTCTCTCTATGGATTTTATACTTGCTCAAGGGAGGAATGGCAGATATTACCTAAAGACGTAACACATTAAAATGTAGTGAAAATGTTTCTGATAATTTGAGAACCTGAAAACTAAACAGCATTAGGTTTATTCATTTTCATTCAACTATTTGAAATTTCAGTTGTTTATATAATATATTTTGTACAGAACGTACCATTAAAGTACCATTCCACATTCAATTCTCTTTTCATTATACTGTATTTCATATTACATAGTAGTTTTGTTAATTATATGGTTTTGTTATTGCCACAGGCAGTTTACAAAATCATCCTGAACCCTGTAGAGAACTGTTTATATAACTGACTGAGTGATTGCTTGACCAAGCTTAACATGATGCCCGTACGAATCTCAAAGCATGCAAATCCAGACTCACAAACTTCTTTAAAACTCAAACCTTTGGAAAGAAAATTTGCAGTATTGCTTTTTCTGTACAATTACATGCTTTTGGAGGTGTTTTGTGCTGGGATAGAGGAATTAGATGGAACGGCTGAACTGAGGTGTTGTTTAGGGACTTGGTTACTCAATACCCTAACCCAGATTCTGACTCTGGATATTCATCTTCACATCTGTTTGTAAACTAATGAAGTAATTCCCTTAACTGGGATTGGAGTGAAAAATAAATGGTCCAAGGATGAAAGTGAAAGGCAGTCCCCTGCTGGTCCTTACCACATTTATCCATGGGGGATGATGTTCTAGCCGATTCTCTTTTTTTACCATGCATTGTCTTCAGAAGGCATCCAGGTTTCATCAGTCTCATTTATTTTTCAATCTAATAAAGATGATCTTAAAGGAAGCAATGAAAATGAGAAAAGCATGTAAACCTGCTTTGCTTAAAAACCTTCCTATTATTTATTTTTGTTTCTAAATTTGTTTGGGTTGGGTTTGGTATTGTATTGGTGCCACTAAGTACCAAATAGAAAAGTGGCAACTGGGGGGAAATGATGTGGGAGGGTATAAAAGTACCTTCCTCCCTTAGGTTTGAAATAATCTGAGTTTACTTACAGTTAACATTTTCCTTAAAATAAATTTTATCATTATTTTTCAAAGAATTTTGTTTGCTATATTATGTTGTGATTGCATAATTTGCAAATGTATTT